GGGGGGGGGGGGGAGGCTGAGTAAAAAAGGTGAAGGGATTAAGTATTACAAATTGGTAGTCACAGGGATATAAAGTTTAACATAGGGAATAGAGTCAATAATATTGTAATAACTATGTATGGTGCCAGGTGGATACTGGAAATATCAGAGGGACCACCCTGTAAAGTATCTTATTGTCTAACCCCTATGCTGTACACCTGAAACACAAAATAATATTGAATGTAAACTGTAATTGAAAAATAAAAAATAAATTCAGTCTTTTGTCCAAAGTATTTTGTTCTACAGCCAGTTAGACAAATTTTTTTTCCATTAAAAACACTGTACTTCTTCCTTTTCATGCATATGGATTTATGTAATTTTAAAACATATAACTAAAATCATTTAAGTACTAAATACTACCTTATATTTTGCTATCAAATGCTGTTGACTACTACATCAAATGCTGTAGGTTGGCACACATACACACTTGCTCATTTCTTAACCTCAGCTTTGTCAGTTCCCCATCCCCCCACCACAATTTATGTTATCTCCTTTCAGGAGACAAAACCACTGCAGTGTTTAGATATGTTTTATTCAGTTTTCTTTGTTTTTGAATTGCAGAATTATACTCATCATCTTCTTTGTCTCTTTTCTCTGTTCTCAATCTCCAACTCTATTTTAAAAATTCTAATGCATTATTGTAATAAGAAACAACAAAGTGATTTTACAAATGTTTTCTTATACTCTCTTTTTTAGCACAAAGGGAAATCACACTTACCTTAAAACTTTGAAATATCATGGCCAAAGAAAGCCTTCCAACTGCAAGACTAGGTAGCTATTTGTTACCTCAAAATGTAAAGTATAGAGATATAATTTTAGCTTCTAAATAAGTCTATCAAAATTTAGCTCTGGTCATGAAAGAACAGGCTGTCCTCGGAGCAGACAGCTACACAACTGGCTCCTTGAGCTATGAAGCACAAATCTATAACTGTGACACCTGGACCAAAGAACAATAGATAGTACTTCCAGAGAGACAAACTCCATTCGTCTTGACTTGAACTACTTTTCTGTACTAACCACCAAGTACAACTAACCTTCTCTAATCTCAGTACACCCAAGCTTCAGTGGGACATTTCACTTGAGTTTCACTATTGTGTCCTCTGCTGTCCCCTAATGGTCCAGGTAGGTGACTGCACCCACCTGTAGTGGTGACGGTAGTAGTAGTAGTCGTAAATATAACATGGTGTTTACTGATTTACCAGTTAATTTAAACAAATGATCCTATTTACTGCTTATAACAAACTGGTAAGCAGAGCCACGTATTATAAAATGAATTTCTGAAATGATATAATATACAGAATATGAAGGAATTTTGTGTAAAGCCCTATACAAATGAAATGCTTTCCTATTGATATATTTCATTAGGTAACTGTTGAATCACAGAATCCAGGACTAACTGGCCCCAATAAAATAAGTTCCTCCATTTTATTGAGTTAACTGAGATACAGAGAAGTCAGGCAATTTGCCAAAGGTCACATACCTATAAGTGATGGAGCCAGAATCCTGTCACCATAGTCTGATGTCCAACCAGGAGGCAGATTATAAAACTTCCAGGGCCTTGTAGGTGTTAGGAGGATTCTCCTACTCCCGTCAGCGCACAACGAAAACATCCTGGGCATCAACAAGAAGATGCCGTATCGGATGAGTTCCTCTTTTTCCACTTCCACTATACCTGCAAGTATAAGGGCTCACCTTCAAGGCACTGCGCTTCTTAGCAAAGTGACTTTTCCATGCTCACTGAGGCCTAACTTTGGATCTGAGCCACCCAACAGGCAGTAGCACTCATTCTATTAGCCACAGACTACAAACTGGACCCGAAAGCTCGGGTTTCTCTTCCTCGTGCAGGGAGGGCCAGACCACCACTATAATCCGTCCATTTGTTTTCAATAGGCCATAGTTAATGATCAAAATGAGTGTCAGGAAGTCACACTCTCTCATCGTTCATTGGGTCTTATACAAGTCAATCTCTCTGGGACTTTATCCCTTACAAGGGATAAAGGGGAGGGTGATTAAATTGTGGGAGTGGGTGATTAAACTAGTTCGAGTCATGGACCCCCTTGAAGAGCCATTCTGGGGAAAGCTATTTTGAGGAAATATCCAGAAAAATTGTGTACACACACACAGACACAGGCTCACATACCTCAGAGTTTGCATACTGTGGTAGATTAAATAATGGCTTCTCCAAAGATGTTCATGTCTCAATCCCTGGAACTTGTGATTGTTACTTTATAACTTATATGGCAAAAGAGACATTGCAGATGTGAAGTTAAGGATCTTAAGATGGGGATGGGATATTATCCTGGACAATCCTGGTGGGACCAATATAATCACGAGTCCTTTTAAGAGGGTTGCAGGAGGAATCAATGTCAGAGAGAAGGCAAACTGACAACAGAAGAGGAGTGTCAAGGACTGTGAGAGTGATGCCTGAGAAATTAGCCAGTGCTGTCTGTGAAGATGGAGGGGGTCATGAGCTAAATCAAAGAAATGAATTCTCCCCTGCAGCCTCCAGAAGGTACATAGCCCTGCTGATACCTTGACTTAAGCCCAATGAGACCTGTATCTGACCTGTGTCAGGACAGGAAGAAATACAGGATGTCCCCCCAAAACGTATACACACTTTAATACTGATAGCTCAGTTTTGAAAATGAAATGTACTTTAATAAACACTGCCTTTATAATTATTCAAAGTGTGTGTATACATTTTTGAGGGACACTCTACATATAGTTTTTACAGAACTGTGAGATAATAAGTTTGCATTGTTTTAAGTCACTAAATTTGTGGTACTTTGTCAAAATGGCAATAGGAAATGAATACACATACCAGCACATCTCAGGAGTCTATGAACCCACAAGCCTGTCATGAATGACACCCCGTGGATTAAGACCTCTTCAATGTAATATCTGGGACAAGCATTCTATGATTCTACATGCACTGATGCTCTACCCTAGGCAGAACTGCTGCTCCTGGAAAAATAAATAAATCTATAATATTAAAAACCACAATGCCTTCTAATATTTTAAGGTGGTCTAAAGTGCAGAGAGAACAGCTGAATATATATTTTATGTTTTCATAGATGTTTCAGCCTAAACTACAAATAAAAATATTTTAATGTATTTTTCTTCTGTAGTTGCCAACTAGTGACATCAACAGAACTATATATATTATAAACTATTTCATAATGTGGACATATTCCATTGGAAATGTGAGAAAACAAATGCCAAAGGGGGAAAAAACTGATCTGGATCTATGTAGTGCTTTATTGGTAATATAAATTTCATAAATCAAGAGTAATCGGCTTTTTGTTTATAAGTTTTTATCTGCCAGCCTTTCACTTTGAGATAATTCTAACTGAGAAAACTGCTTACAATATAAGCATCTTTACCCCAGTAATGATTTAATAGATCCTATGAGATCTATATTTTGTGGGGGCGATAAAGCCCAAAGCAAAAATCACCCAAGTATTTACTGGCAAAGCTATAGTAAAATTTAGTGCACAATTCAGTAGTGCCCGCCTTCAAGGCGTTCTGCGTTTTGACTCATTCTTGGAATTTTCTAGGACCCACCTGCGTGGGCCCATTTCTTCCCTTCCCTGTGCTCTCAGACCCACTTCCCTGAGCTCACCAAACCCAGGATATTCCCACCAGAGGTGCCACCCGGGGTGGTGGCAGGTCCTTTGCTCAGCACACCAGTAATGCTGGCAGCCAATGTGGGCCTCCAAGCAGGCTGCGTGCCTCTGACCAGGCCATACTTCCAGGCTTTGTGCCCCTTACATATATTTACAGTTAGTAGCTAAAATAATGTAGCCAGATTGTCACCCTTCCAGCTAAACCCTCAACGACCCTAGGTGACCTGCAACCCCCACTCGCACCCCCAACCAGTTCCCGGTGCACCAGCCACACAGGTTTCCAAAATACCAAGCGGGCTCTCAGCTTAGGAACTTTGCATCGTCTACTCTGCCCAGGAGCTCTTTGCCCGATAACAAATCCTTAATTTCTCTGGACTGAGGATATCCAGGAAAACAAGCACCTTATATTTGCAAAGTTACTTCGTGCATTTCATTAGAGTCTCGTCATCTTCAGAAGATGTAGGAGTGAAGGTGGTGAGACTGATCCAATTCTGGACAGGAGCCAGATGAGCGGCCTCATTCTCACGCTTGTTTTCCTGAAAGTTTAAAAGAAATGTCCCAGTCAACCTTTAAGACATATAATCAGTACCAAAGCGTGCCTGAGTATGTTTGTGCTAATGTCTTCCTGTGCTTTAAGTAAGCCACACTTCCCAGCGTAAGAGGAAGGTGCCTCCTGGCCCACGGACAGGACCATTTTGGAATGATGGAAGGAAACCTGGGCCTCACCGCTGGGGGCCTTCTTCATAACAACTGTTTGCCCACCACACAGGTGAGACCAGCTTTAATACTGAAAACAAAACAAAGGAAAATACGAAAAAGTGTGGAAAATCCCCTAATGTTGGAGTATTTTCTTATTTCCTGCTTTTTTTTTTTGACAACATAAACATATCCCTTTATTATAAATATAAATAGTTCTTTAATATTCTTCTCATAAAAGTAGCATGTTTATTTAGCCACTTGCTTATTAGCTTTTGCCATTACGGTTCTTTGAAAGTTTTCTTCGTAACTAATGTAATGAACTTAGAGATGACAGGTGTATATATTTTAAGTATACCTCTCCCAAGTCAAAGGCTCTGAACAATTTTCGGAGTATTGATGCTTTTACACCGCTTATCAAAACTGTTGCTGAAATCCACACCTCTTCACCCATTCACAGAAATATGCAATCACAGACAGCTTCAAATCCACGTCCAGCCCGCTTCACTTTACAAATCTAAAAGTGAGGCCTCGGGATCTGAATGGCGAGCCCAGATCTCCGGCCTCGCCGTCGCTTTCTCCCCGGTCCACTCCGGCTCAGGAGCTGGGCGGACGCTCCGGGACCGGAGGGACCCACAGGCTCCACGCAGCGCGGGGCCCCTCGCCCAGCTCCCGCGGGACGCCAAGGGCCGCGGAGGTTGGAGAAGAGTAGAAATCACCTGGGCGCCGCCACGAGCCCCCACTTTTAATGGGCCCACCAGGCAACCGGGCAGCAAACCGAAAAACCGGCAACCACGGAGTTCACGAGCCCGCCCCCAGGGAGCCTCCGCGAGCGACTCCATCGGGCTCCCGAACCTGAGGCCGCCCTTCAGCCCTGACGCATCGAGCGCGGATGGCGCGCGGAGGGGCCTCCGAGGCTCGGGCCCTGCAAAGCCCAGGACCCGGCCCTAGGTGTCTATGACGAATGCCAGAGCGGGCGTCTTCACGGTCGCTGCAGGTCCCGGCGGGCGTGGGACAGGCGGCTACTCAGCGCCCCGCTGGACAGGCCCAACCAGTCGAACGCGGAACGAAGGGGCGGGCGGAGGCCGGCGCGGGGCCGCTGCTCTGCAGGCCCGCCCTGGCTCCGGGCTCCGGGCCTCCCAGCCGGGGAGT